CCAGCACCCGCCTCTTCCGGTGGTTCTGCGCCATCTTCCACCTCACGTACAACATGACTGCATCCTTGACAGCGACAAACAGACATCCACCGATGAGACTCCGCCCCCACCTCGTCTGCAGCATTCCGGTCGGTCTGCCCGCTATCCGAGGCTTTATCCAGGAAAGCGGTAAAGACACTCGGAGTAGCTCTCCCACGGCTGCTGCTACCGAAGGGAATATGAGTGCGCCAAGTACTGTGTCCGCTATCCTAGTTGTAGATATCAAAACGTTCTCTTCGCGACGCCATTGGCGGGGTGGAGGAGGCGCCGGTGGAGCATTCTGAGGGGCGGCTTCCGCTTGAGCAGCATCAAGAGGCGGCTGGTGCAATGGCGGAGCGGGACCACGTTCGATACCGGGCATTTGCTGTTCGTCTCCTTGCTCCTGCTGGCGGGGCTGCTGTTGTTGTTCCTGGTCATCACCCCCGGCATCTTCATGCTCCACGAACTCTTCAATGATGTTCAGGTCGATGTTGAGCTCTACTACACCGTCCCCATCGTCGGGTACAAGTTGCCCCTCGTCATCCTCATCCTGATCGCCTTCATTCGCTCCGGCTTGCACCTCGCCGGCGCGCGGCTGTATGGACTTTAGCCACTTCCGTTCTCTCGGTGCCCAGACGTGATCGTAGTAGGTATTATATGCCGCGCGTATGTAAGGGAGCATGGCGATCGAGAGAGCCGCACTTGGAGGCCAGTGGCCGATCTTGAGGATCTCGTCGGACTGCGGCGAGGTGGCGAAGAAGAGCATAGGTAGAATGGGAAGGATGCTATCCGCCAGGGTAGTTCTGGCTGCGACAAGGGTGACTGGGATGAGGGACAGCCCGATGTCTAAGCGAAGGTTGCGCATAGAGTTCTTGAGCGTTGCGAGGAGGACCGATTGCGTGTCGCGTGCTCGCAAAGGCGCGTACAAGGGCCCTAGTATTCGGCTTCCGTCCTCTAGCCCAAAGATGGCGTAGACGGTGCTTACGCCGTGGATCAGACATCCTTGGTAGATGGTGTATGCGCCGACAAAGCAGGCTCCGGGAATCATCAGGACACCACCCAGTCTTTCGACAGCTCGTACGGCGTCTATAACGTAGCTGCGCGGTCTGGCAAGCACGATCTCGGACTTGCACTGCGGACACTCTATCTTTCCCGAACCGCCCGTCCGCCGCCGCGACGTGGGAGACTCCAGGTCGGCTACCCAGTCTAAGAGGCATGATTCATGTGCGACTAGCGCGCATTTGCATGGGCTTCGCCATTCGGAGGATTCGGGCGTGTCTTCTGTCTCGTCGTTCATGCATATCCAGCATTTGCGGGGTTCGTCGGTATCGGCTTTCTGCGAGGAGCTCGGGGTTTGCTGAGAGCCTGAACTTCCGCGCTGAGATGTTGTTGATGGAGTCAGTTCGTCTGCGGTATAGCTGTTGAGCAGGACTGTTTGCGAATCCTCGGACGTTGTTGATCGCGCTCGGCTGCTGCTGCGTGGTAGCGCTCTGGAGGCTTCTGGAGAGGAGCTTTCGCGGGGGAGGATCTCCGCCGCGCAGAGGACTGGGGAGGAAGGGAAGCCATGTGTGCTAGCGGAGGCGATGCAGGCGTATGCGAGTTGCTGTTTCAGGAGGTTGAACAGTTAGGTTGTGTATCCGTGGTTGATGCGCAGATGCTGTTTCGGGTTCAACATCAATGACAGGTTGCCTGTCCCTCGGTCCACACGTCGCCCAGGGTCGTCGGCGTTTCCCTTCGCCGACATCGACGCGACTAACCTTCACTTCACGCATTGCCCGTGACTTAGGTACTGACTCGGTGAGCTAGATGGAATCTCGAGCATAAGAGCCATGACGCCCTGCTCACGAGGAACAAGTTCCGTCCACATTGGGGCGTTCTACTGTTCGGGCACTGTTCAGAAAGCAACCGATCACACCAGAGAGATTCAATGCTTGACTAACTGGTAAAGCAGCCATGTCCGGGATCCGGAAGTCAGGGCGTCAGCGTCCGCGGAAGAAGTACACTGTAGACGCCTTTGCAGGATTGGATATCAACATACTAAACTCCTCTGAATCAGAAAGTAATGGGCTCCCGGTCGAGCTGCCGGAGGATCTCAGTGATGACCAAGATTATGGCGAGCAGAACGTTGAAGAGGAGGCAGGCGTAGCCGATGAGGACCTCTCAATGGATGAAGGTTCTGGAGGTGATGCGTCTGCTGCGGATAACGCGGAAGAGCAAGATACTGAGTCTGATGAGCATGAATCCGTTGTCGAGGCTGGTGAACCACGGATGTCGATCCGTAAAGGTTCGAAGAAATTGATTATGCCGGGTCAGCCACACAAGACAAGGCCAGCTGAGGATGCGGCGAGTAACTTTCACATCCGTGGTGTACCTGAAGGGCATCACCACGCCGCCAAAGAGATCCGTGCCGCAAATACCTTTGGCCCAGCACCAGAAGATATTACGCCGGCCATCAAAGCTAGGATCAAGTGGGGTGCCCAAGCGACGCTTCCCTCAAGAACTGAGAATAATCTCGGCGTCGGCGGAATGGCGTACAGTTTCTACTATGACGACGAAACCCGGGACCTCCAGGCTACAGAAGGCTGGACATGGTATCGTGATGAAGGCGGCAAAACAGCCTTTGATAGTCGGCAGAGTACGAAATCTCTCAGCGCAGAAAGTGCGGTTCCGTACCTTCCAAAGCCCAAATCCGATTCACAGAGTTTTCTTATGGGTCCGTTCACAAAGCAAGGCTGTTTTACTTTAGGGACAGGGTCGAGTATGCACCTGACAGATGCATGGCCGCAGAGCAATCATGGTCGACCGCGAACAAGACCCAAAGAAGGAAGAGACGGTTGGATCATCAATGTCGGGACCCGGATACATTGTATGGACTGGGTCCCGAACCAGGCCGGTACAACTCAATACCTCGCTGTGTCTACGCTACCCACCTCCGGGCAAATGAGTGCATATATGCCGTTCACAGGTTTTGTGAGCTCAAATGCCCCAGCATTTACACCTTCGGCGCCAACTCCGGGATCAATACAGATCTGGGAATTTGGTACCGGATCGACACCAGAGGGAGGTGTCTCACTCAGTGCAGAGAGACGCCCAAGGCTTCGGCTTGTCATCTGCACTGACTGGGGTGATCCAAAGCATTCTAAGTGGTGTCAACTGCCTTACAAGGACCTGCCGGATGACAGTACTAGTGGGACGGATGTTCGTTTGGGCCTACTGGCCGGTATCTGGGGAGACGGCAAGATCAGAGTCTTGGATGTCCGATGTCCAAACTCGGCAACAGCTTCGACTCAGTACGTACACATCAGCGCCGCAGCTTTCGAAGTCCGTGCTCCAGGTACAGTCTTTACGTGCGTGACATGGCTTTCCACAAAGTCTATCGCCGCTGGTTGCGCCAATGGTTTCGTAGCCGTTTTCGATATTTCCAAGACTCTCACCACTCATTCCCCGAGCACCTCTTCGAATCCTCGCCCTTCGCTCTACCAATGCTTCCACCAAGCCTACATCCTCTCGCTTGTCTCCGCTCATCCATCTCGTCCATACTTCCTCGCAACCAGCAGTATGGATGGTTACCTCCGGCTTACCGACTTGCGTGCACCGAACCTTGATTACGTTTACAGCCAGCGCAGCCGCGTTGGTAGCCTCCCCATTGCATGGCACGAAGTCTCTCAGAGCGTGCTAGTAGCCGATGAGCTCTACAAAGTCCAGTGCGTATTGCTCAGGCGCTTCTACACTAACGTAGCCGTTGCTAGGTTCTCAGCGCAGCCACTTTCCATTGCCACAAGCCCTGTGCATCCGTTCGCCCTGGTGGCTTGCGCGGACGGTACTGTGACTGCGACGAATCCGTTTCGCCGGGCTATTGACAACAAGGTGACGGTTTTCCAGCAGAAGTGGTTCGGGCATGAATGGAGGAGGGGCATTAAAGCAAACGAGCGTGCGGATTCACGGGCAGAATCACACCAAGACACGGCGACCTCGCAACAAAATGGCGATCAAGCTTCGGAACACGCGACGGAAGTTGACCAACCGCCACAGCCAACACCAGAACCTACACAAGACGCCCACCCCCCACATGACCTTTCTCCAGATGTCGCAGCTCCTCACGTCACACAACCTGGTCGCTCCCCGGCCGGTACTCAAGTCCCCAAATCCGTTCTGGAGAACCCACTCATCCGCATCACCGACGGCTTCAAGATTGAGCAGCCTGGCCTCATCCACCCAGACAACCAGTTCCACAACGTTGCCGACGGCTCGGTATACTCGACCATCTTCGAGGAGGAAACGGCCGTCACGCAGGTGTGTTGGAACCCGAACCTTCACTGTGGCGGATGGGCGGCGGCGGGCATGGGCAGCGGATTACTGAGGGTGGAGGATCTGGCTTTGTGAGATCAGGGGTTACTATTGATGGCCAGCTTGAAGTTTGTTTCTGGCTCGTTTGGCCGCCGGTCATTCGGGTTCATTGCTCGTTCGAAAGATTGTACAAAAACGCAACAATCGCAGGAGCACAGGTGCTTCAATGGTACGTCGGAATGCATCGGCATACGGAAGACAACGTTGTAGCGCACAAGGGCCAGTTCCTAAGCATATTTACCAAGTAATTCTGACAATCGTGTTGTACAAATGATACCTCTACCCTTCCCAGCTGATAGCACTCCTGCCCAAGAAGAGCGGGCCGCATAAACTGAGCTTGTTGCGTGCGTGCGGGAATGTACCTTGCGCCTTCTTGATTCAATTGTTTTTCAGATGATATTACGTTCTCAAAGCCGGGATATCGATTCAGAAGACCACGATCTCCGCCACGTAGGAAAGCCTCCCGACCTTCTGGCATTTGTAATTCGAACATCCCGTGAAAATAACATGTGCGTTCATGTGCCAAACTTATGACCGATATGTTGAGGGCACAGTAGAGATCCGTATGGAGTACACCGTGTGGCTATCAAAATTTACGACATGTAATAGCAAGTTGAACTTGCACCATACGAAGTGGTTCGGTGGTGTAGTTGGTTATCACATCTGTCTAACATGTCTCGGTCACGGGACAAATGGACACAGAAGGTCCCGAGTTCAAACCTCGGCTGAATCAGTTCTTTTGCCCTTTTGAGCGTTTTTTTGACGCTTTTGTGACCTCTCTTGACTCTTTTGAGCCTTTCCGCGTCGAATTCTGACTTTTTCTGATCTTTCCTATTTTTCCCGACTTTTTTGACCCTTTGTAGCTCATTTTGCTGCTGTTTTGCGGTTCTGACAGCTGGATCTTTACAAGAGATCAAGATATTGTCGTCCTACTGCACTACACTCGTTGTGCGAAGGCTGGTGTGATCTTCATATTAGTGGTCATCTCACAATGGAGGCCTCTGCATCTATTTCACCTAACATTCTACTGTCGGACTAGTTGCAATCGTGGATGTGGAGGGCAACGCGTGAATAACGAGCTCTACTCGCAAATCCCACTGCTTATAGTCATCACGGGTGCTTCCTCGGAAATGTAGTCACTGAGCTCAGCGATGTTGTACAGACATGGAATGCTGAGACGTGGTGCTCCTTGGAGTATTGACGAGGCTTCCAGTTTCGGACACTGAGCACCGTGTAGAGGATTCCTGTACTTCAGGGTGGAATTGCTTCCACATGAATGGCTATGGAACCAAGTATTGTATTCATTACGATAGGTTGAATAGGGTGAGTGGATCACTTTGATAACCCATTCAGCAGCTACTGCAAGTACACCCAATGGTTGAAACGAAGACTGATCAGTAGGCGGTGGGCTACACGCTGCTCAATTTGGACAGTACAACTGGACGCCTCACGAGCGTCAACGTTACGGGGCCCATTTCGAATAGATGAGAGAGGTAGCTAAGATCTCCAGAGGCCGACACGCCACACTGCAACATGTAGCAACAGTGATCTAGGTGACTGCGAAAGACTCCCCTGCAAAAATCAAAATAAAACTTGGACATGTGGAGATTCAATGTATGTTTACTTGACTGAATATAGCCAAGCATTTTCTTATACTTGTTCGTACTCTGCATATTGGATCACAGTCCTTGACAACAGGGTGTTCCAGTGTTATACTAAAAGCATTGCGGCTGGTGGACACTTGGGTAAGTCTCGTACTACCTTATTGGTTAGTAACTTTTTGAAAAGCCAAAGCATCGTTACTTGCAAGTGCCCGCTTCAACGCCTTCACCTTAACGGTAATCCTGAACATTCAACCGCTCCTGTCGTAAAGCATCTTAAGAAAAGCAGTCAGAACTGAGCGGCTCGACATCCGCCGGCCTTCAAGTAGGAAAGCCACGCTGAGTTCAAAGTTACAAAGGTCCTCTAGCTCAAGGACATCCTGATTACCAGCCTTCTGAGTTCCCACCTTCCTCCTATAGTGCGACCCTGACGAACACTGAAGGTATTGGGTCGGACATATCCGGCATTGCGAGGACTGGGACCTCAGCGAGGTCTTTATGTCGTAGGAGAGGCCTCGACGATGTGTATGCCATACGAGTGTCAGGTTCGTTCTTTGGTAACGAGTCTACCCAAAGTGCGACTGTGCGCATCCCTGCCTGCAATTTTCCTGCCTAGCCAAGCGTGTTTGCAACCCGGGTCCCCATTGTTGGATTTCCGGCCAGGATAGTGTTTCGGTAGGGGCTGTCGCTAGCTCAGTTTTTGACTGGGGATCTACGCGTCCTTCAGCGCTTCGCATTTGCAGGTATGGAGAAACCTCGAGACATGAAGTCACTGCCCTTTCCTGACGGCTTCGACGGATCTCTTGACGAGAAGAGACTCTGCAAGTTGCCGTTCGTATCCATCTTGCGCCGCTTGTTGCGCTCTTCCTGCTCCTTCAAGACTTTTGCCGTAAGCGATGCGGTCGCGGAATTCTTGATGCCTGCGCTCGGCGCTGATGCCGCTGGCTTCTCCTCCACTTCGGATGCCACCTCAGCGCTCTTTGCTTCGCCATTCTCGAGACCCTTCTTCCTCTTCTTTCCAGCGCCTGCTGCCTTCTTCAGCGAGTGTGTTAGTCCCTTCTCCTTCAGCGTCTTCATCCTCAGCGACAATCTCGCAATATCCGTAGGAGTGGTCGGCAGGATAGGTATAACGTCGTTCTCCGCATAGGCTTCATTGCACTGCAGGCACTTCCTCTCTTCGATCTCCTTGACCACACTATCCGCAAAGGCGTGTCCACACGGCACAATGTACACCGCTTTAACTCCCGGTCCCAGCGTCTTGTTCGTGATCGGGCATATCCACTTCCCGCCCTCATCGACCTGAAACTTCACCTCCACGACATCCTTGAGGCTTTTGACTGCGCCTAGCAGAACCTTCTCCTTCTCCGCCTTCTCTCTCACTGCGTCTTCCCCGTCCGCCGGCAGCAAAAACTCGATGATCGCGTCCTTGTTGTACAGCTTCCCGTTGCAGTCGCTCACGACCGGCGCTCGCAAGGGTTTCTGGCTGAACGGGTCGGTGCTCCAGTGGTATTCTCGTTGCTCGTGCTGGGTTTCTTTGAGTTCGGTTGCGGAGGGCTGGCGGGCGGCTTCTTTAACTAGTTCACGGCGCGTGGGGATACTGTAGGCTGGTTAGCGGTCGATATGAGGGAGCTTGGAGGTAGCGAGTTGCCCACCTGCCACCGTCGTTGCCCATGGTGTTACTTCTTGTAATGCGCCGAGTGGTGTTTAAGAGCTTGGAGTTTCGTAGAGGAAACGGAATGGGGCTTGGCGACGGGCAGGAGGCGGCTTCAGCGGCGGAAGTTCAAGCGTCACGTGCAAACTTGAGGCAGTGGCTACCTAACTAACTTCTATGATTAAACGGCATCCTAATACCTAGCAACTCACACATAGAAGTGAATCGTTCAAATAGAGCTATTAACAAGATTCGAAAGCACCCTGAATAAGAACACGAAGGTGCATCCTCATGACCATACTTCGTCAAAATCCGCTGTGCAAAGAGGGGAGAATAAGACAATCTGGAGAACGAACCCAGCCTTACTGTACACCGCCCAAACGCCCCAAAATCCAGTACCTTACACACAAGCCCCCTATCTGCCCTCTGTGCTTTGTTCCCTCACACTCCCTCCGCTGGCACGATACCACACATCTCCACCCCATCTTATTGTCCTCTCCAACGCTGCTGTCGGCCCATCCACCGCTGGCCTAACGTCCAAAAAGAACACAGGCTCCCCCGTCGGCTCCGGTGGTCCCTCATAGTAATCAATCACATACCTAACCTCCCTCGTCTGACCACCAGGCAGTCTCCGCTGCACGAACCAATCATGCCTATCAAACGGCGGCTGCGTACCAAACTTCTCCGGATACGCCCACGCCAGCACCTGCAGCATCCTCGCCTTCGGCGTCAGCTCCCCTGGGCGTCCCATAAACCTCACCAGGCGCGGCTCCTCCATCTGTTCCCTCCTCTCATCCCAATCCACGCCCGTCGAGGCGTCAAATACCGTCCCCGCCTCGCCGCGTTTGCAAGCTCTCCACCCCCGCGATAACCCACGCCCGAAGCGGCGCTCCCACTCCGCGATCTCGGCCCAGGCGCCCTCGTTCAGGAAGTTGTGGACGGCAACCATGGACTCGACGGCGGAGGTGTCGGTGTCCGTGTAGCCCTTACGCAGCATCGCGTTGTACATCTGCTGCGGGGACGGGTATTCCCAGTTGCCGGTGCCGTCGCCTTTGGGTATCGAGGAGCGCTCGCGGGAGAGGGGAGGTCTGCGCTTTGGTGGGATGATTCGCGCTTGTTGGATAGCGAGGGCACGTAGTTGAGCGGATTGAACTTGGAGAGTGTGGAGGTGGCGGAGTTGCTGGGTTGTGCTGCGGAGGTTTGGGAGGTGGCGCTGTCGGGAGGTATGTAGGGACATGAGCCTTGAGGTATTGTGGGTGCGGCTGGTAGTGTGTTAGATGATGTGAATTTCGAGGTGGAGGATGGCTTGTGCATGGGGCAGCCGGGCTGTCGCATGTTAGTTGTCTTTCTTGTATGCTGAACGAAGGACATACAGGAGGAGAGGTATCGCCTCTTGGTAATGGGTGCGGCGCAACCGGCGCGGTGGGTGTTGCGTCTGCCCAAAACCAGCCCATCTTGAGTCACTGAATTAGGATTTGTTGTCAGGAGTGATGCGAAGCGATAGAATAGTGGTAGGTGGCGGACGGAATGGTTGCGGCGAAGGAGGAGCTTGTGGAGCTCAAGTGATGATGCAGGGTTCAGCCGCTGAAAGAACTCCGCAATCCGCGACACTCTTGGCACCTCGAGGGGGTCATGGCTTGCAATGCTGCAAAGTTCATTGCGGACACTTTGGTACTCATGAACTGAGACTTATTCAATGGAAACACACATCCGACATCTTGGTGTATATATCTCTTCTTTAAGAGGTGGGCACGTGATGCAAGTCAGAGTAACGTGCTCGGTGGTGGTTGCTCTGAAGCTCGAAGCCTGAGCCGCCCCTTTTTCATATAAATGCTATGAACATCCTCAAAATACGGCTATGGTAGCTTTTCAAATTTGACTAGCTCCCCACTGTCTTCGCGGCCAGGTTGCCGGTCCCTCTCGAGCTAAAGATACCCATAATACCGAATCCCACATAGAATAGAGCGAGAGGGTACGCTACCAAACCCCTCATACTGCTCATCCTTCCAACTGCGCAAAACATTGCGCTCGACGAGTACGTGCACCACGCGATCGCCGTGCTTGTGAGCAAGTATCCCCACAAATTATCCATGGGCAAAAAAATTCCTATTAACGACACTAGTACCAAAGGAAGCAGGCAGTAACCCAGCACACTAGTCGACCGCCAGATGGTGAGTGTGCTGGAAAAGTGGCCGCCTGAGCTATGGTGGTCGGGGTGAGAAGGATGCGAGGAGGGATGAGGTTGGTTTGAGTCGTTCGGGTCCAGGGGTGGAGACATAAGGGAGAGGATGATGTGGAGAGAGCCGCTGCCAACCAGGGCGAGGCCGTAGATATAGCCAAAGTGTACCTTGCCGGACTGTGGCATTACCAGGATTAGCGGCTTGCAACGTGGAGGAGTAAAAGGGTAGACATACAAACAGGAGGAATGTGCCGAACAGGAGAAAGAAGAGTACGGGACCAGCGAGATCGGAGTCATCCATG